ATATTTTATATAAGTTTTATATTTTATATATTCATTTGTCCTAAAACCCGACAGACAGCGTGCCCAGGAAACAGGTAGCTGTGTGTTGTTGAGATTCACTCCTGTCTGATCTTTACCTCAGGATGACAAAGCTCATGAATCGCCTTTTAAGAACTACTTCCCTGACTGAGTATTTCATCAACCATAGTTGGGAATGGAGCACATACAATACGGAAATGCTAATGTTCCAGCTAAGTCCTGAAGATCAGAAAGTAAGTACAGCACTGACAGAAACAACAGGAAAATCTTATTCATTTGGAATTTGGAATCCTTTATCCTGGGATGCTGATGAATAAAATCAGTTTTATATACAAGGAGGCTTCAAAAAGTTCTTGGAATAATTCCATTATCTTTCAATTCTACTTTTCCGTGAACTTTGTCAAGTTGGGGGCTCACACAGTACAGATGATCCAAGTCTTGATCATGGGATTGAATGCTTATTATGTATAAGGTTATATACACAGAAAAAAGTATTGTGTTGTTGTTGTTAAATAAATAAGTCTATATTTTCAACATAATAGCAGGAAGACAAGTTTAATGTAGGTAAGAAATCTAGGTTATTAAATTTTGGCATGCGTTTCATCTTCATTCCCTTGTAGTTGCTCAATTGTCATCAATTCTCTTAGAGAATTCAAACTTTCATTTCTCAAGACAGGCCTTCCTGTTAATTGCTTAGCATGAGTGCTGTTAATTTCTTTATATTAACCTCTTGGAGGTCACAAAGTTTATGCCCTGAAATCTTGCTATTATTATCACAAGTTGTACCTTTATAGGTTAGGTGCTCAATAACATAAATTGATCATTATTGTTATGCATTTGTCATGTTAAATCATGCAGGACATAACACCTAGAGTTTCCAGCCAAAAATATCATGGAACTAGCTCTTATATTTGCCCATGAAATTGCCTTTATCGAATATACTTTTCTATCTATGTCTTTGAGTCATTATCTAGTACTTTCATTTCAGTCTGAAAGACTCCTGTGAGCATTTTTTCTAGAGCAAGTATAGATAGTCATAACAAACTCCCTCAGCTTTTGGTTATCTGGGAATGTCTTGATTTCACCCTCATTCTTTTTTTTTTTTTT